GGTTTGGGGTGGGTATTGGCCAGGGGGAATAGCGAAGGGGCGTAAAGGGGATGAGGGGCAGGTGGGCTGTCCAGGGGCGTGTCGCGCGTGGGGTGTGGGGATTGGGCGGAAGTGTGCAGCCGAGGGGCGCACAGGGCGCCTGCAGGCACCCTCCCCATCGTCGTCGTGAAGACTGCCTCAAGGCGTGGCTGCGGCCGGCCGCTCTCTACTGGCCCAGGGCTCCAGGTGCTCCACAGGGCCATGCCCCTCGCCTCCCTGCGTGTTGTGGGGGACGCCAACTACTGCAGCGCTGCGGCGGCACGGCTCAGCGCGGCAGCTGCTGCTGTGAACAAATGACACCGGCCCCGGCGGCCCCCACCTGGCCGCTTGACTCCTCCATTGGTTCCAGCACCCGCACCACCCCCGGGTGCTTGATCTGAGGGGTGTGGCAGAGGGTTGCGCACATGGGCATTGCGCAGCAGCACACGCTCTGCCTGCGCGGCGCGTCGCGTCGCTTCAAACCACCCGCCACTGCTGCGGTGCATCAGAGCACCCACTGCCCATGCCTCATCAGCCCAGAAAGAGCTCAACGGCGCAAAAGGCTATCCGCGGGCCGCAGACGCGCACCCGCAGCATCTGGGCGCACGCCCGCCGCTGCTGCTCAAAGAATGTGTCGAAGGCGCGCGCGCGGCCCGCGCGGCTGGCCTGGTCCATGAGCGTCCTCTTGTCCAGGATCCACACGCACACCTCCGGGAACACCGCGCCTGCGGGGTGCCGTCGGGCCGCAGTCGATTAGGGCATGCGCGGCCCTCCACTGCCGCTGCTGCTGCTCCAGCTGCTGCTGCTGCTGGTGCTGTGGCCAACCCGCTAGCCAATCATTGAAACTCTGCGCTGCCGATGAGCAGCAGCATGCACTACCACCAGCTACCACCACGGCCTCATTCACGTGCTCAGCCACGCCCGCTCATCCTGCAGCGGCGGCGTAGCGTATTGGACACTGGCATCATTGCTCGCACTTGCTTCCCGCCCTCCGCCGCAGAGCCGAGCGCCGGCCGCCCGCCCCGCCCGCCCGCCCTCACCCGGCTTCTTGCTGATCGCCAGGAAGATGCGCCAGGTGCCGCAGGGCCCCGCAGTGGCCACATGGCCGGCAAGGCGGTAATCTTTGAGCGCCTTGAAGGACGTCAGGTCCTCCGCCAGGTCCTTGGCCACCTCCGCGGCGCGCCCAACAGCAGTCGCCGCCACGCGCGCCGCGCTGCTGAGGCCCTGCGAGAGAGGGGCGAGAGCGGCGGGCGGCGGCGCGGCGGCACGGCGGCGCGGTGGCAGGGGGTGAGGGAGGGGTTGCGGAGTGGCGCGCGTCTGTGGCGGGTCTGTGCCTCGGCCGCCTTGCGGGGGTGAAGACAGCGCGGAGCCGGTGTTAGTGGGGACAGCTCAGCACAGGATTGATATCACACCTTTCTGATCGTATCATAGTTCCAATTCATGATGGGGGGTGTGCTAAAACACCATGCAATCGGGCTGTTGCCTAGTCGCCCTCCAGCAGCGGACGCTGTTGAGCCTGGTGCCTTGTCCTAGCTACTCCGATCAATCAGTGTCCAATGGACGGCTTGATGACTGCCTTTCGCAAAGGATAGAGCGATCTAAGGCTCATGACGCAGAGCAGAGCAGACTGGCTTGGACCTGAAGTCGCTGTTCGAAGCGCGCTTTTCCACACCAAGCACCCATGCCTAATGCGTGCCACGCTTAGCAGCTTCACCTTACAGCGTGGTGACAATCGAGTGTGTTTGTAACACACTCCCGGTAGTGTGTGTGCTCCAGCACATCACACGACGGAGCGAATCGCTCCAGAGTTCTGACATCAACTCAAATAGCAGCCCTTGCCTCACCGGTAGCTTCAGCGATCTCGTTGGCGCGATTGTGTCAGTGCACAATTGTAGACCTTAACCAGCCATTCACGTGGGCGTATGTGATTTCTAGAACCTATGAGTTCATGAGAACAGGTGTAACGCGGCCATCCTGGATCGGGACTGCAGGGAGCAGGCAAAATCGGCGATCATAGGCAGCCATGCCGCGTGAAATTATCAGCTTGCAAGTTGGGCAGTGTGGAAACCAAGTCGGCAGCGAGTTCTGGAGGAAGGTGCGGTGCCGTCGCGGCTTGCCGTTGCGCAGCGTCGACACGAGTTGCGCGCTGATTCGAACGTGCTCAGCGAGCCAGAGCTGCAACGACTGCCATCCGCCGGCTGACCATTTCCTTGCACGCGCAGCTCTGCCAAGAACACGGCATCAGCAAGGATGGCATGCTCGAAGAGTACGCAACACAGGTTGGCCCTTCACAAAGGGTTGCAGCCAACTGCACTGTTGAGCGAGCTGTCGCCGCCGCCGTCGCCGCCGCCGCCGCCGCCGCCATCCTGCGCTGGAGCAAGCAGCGCCGCAGGCGCGCTCGTCCCGCCGCTGAGCACCCTCTTGAGCGGCTTTGGATCCCCCTCCCCGGCCCCCAGGGTGGCGACCGCAAGGACGTGTTCTTCTACCAGGCAGACGACGAGCACTACATCCCGCGGTCCCTGCTGCTGGACCTGGAGCCCAGGTGCGCACAGGTCGGGGCGGACCTGTGCCGTGTTTTCAGCAGCGAGCGCTGCACAAATACCACCACCAGTGGCAGCAGCAGCAGCAGCAGCAGCAGCAGCAGCAGCACGCAGGGGGCTTCTTCCAGTGCTGTTGCCCGCCCCACCACAGCCCAGGGCAAGCCGGAAAACGCTGTGCCGCGCCGCGCGGCATTGCGCCGCAGGGTCATCAACGGCATCCAGACGTCCGACATCCGGAACCTATTCAACCCGGAGAACATTTTCATGAGCAAGGAGGGCGGCGGCGCTGGGAACAACTGGGCCAGCGGCTTCAGCCAGGGAGAGGCTGTACAGGAGGCGCTGCTCGACATGATAGGTGGGCGCACAGTTCGGGGTTTACTGGGTGTGAACGAGCGCAGCAGACGGTTTTATGCATGGGTTTTGCATGCCGGCTGCAATCGGTAACGTTGTCAGCCTTGTGGTGTACGGCAGCAGCGCTGGATGCGTCAGCAGCGGCGCGGCCGCGGCGGCCGCGTCCTCTCTGACGCCGGCGTCGCTCGGGCCCCGCCCCCCGCGGCAGACCGCGAGGCGGAGTACTGCGACAGCCTTGAGGGCTTCACGCTGTGCCACTCCATCGCGGGCGGCACGGGCAGCGGCATGGGCTCATACCTGCTGGAGCTCTTGAGCGACCGCTGGAACAAGAAGCTGATACAGACGTACAGGTGCGCCGCCGAGGGAACCTTGCACATGTGGCGTTCGAGGCTAATGATATTGTGGATGGTGTTGTGGAGGGGGGAATGTTCGAGAGAGTGTGTGTGGGGGGGTGGGGGGGTAGAGGTGTGCTACTGTTTATTGCGCACACACATGGATACTCTCTTGCCAGCAAGTACACAGGCACACAAACACTCACACGCACACTCTCCCTCCTGCTGCCCTGTCCTCCCCGCAGCGTGTTCCCCAACCAGAGCGAGAGCAGCGACGTCGTGGTGCAGCCCTACAACAGCCTGCTCACCCTCAAGCGCCTCACGCACCACGCGGACGCCGTGGTGGTGCTCGACAACACGGCCCTCGACCGCATCGCCGTGGAGCGGCTGCACGTGGAGAACCCCAGCTTCACCCAGATCAACAGCCTGGTGTCCACGGTCATGGCGGCCAGCACGACGACGCTGCGGTACCCGGGTGAGGGGGCTGGGGGGAGCGGGGGAGTTGAGGCGCGCGTGGGGCGCAGGG